TCGAGAACTGTCAAAATGCTGCCCGGGCAAGAGGATGGTCGATAAGTCATATCATGAAACAATCAATAAATTTGACAATTCAGTGAAAAACTCGAAGTTCGAGGCTCCTAGAACACTTCGAGGTACGCTGACAATCCACTGTCGGAGCGCTTGGCGAGATTTACCGAACGGCGCTAGTAGTGGCACATCTGTGCGGAAGCAACCCCATTACGCGTCCCTCGCCCTCCACCCACCCTCGCTTAGTGTCACTGCCCAAATAAAGAAGAAAGAACAATGGCCCCCGCTGACCAACGCCACAAAATCAGGACCAACAACCCCATTTCGACATATATCACGTGCGCCGACGCGTCCTGTTTAAATTCAGAATCGACCAGCCACAGCGAGTTCGACTTCAACCACACTCCCATCCGCTGAGTCGCGCGCGACAGCCTTCCGCCTTGCCCAGTCTTCTCAACCACAGGACCGCACCTTCCCGACGTTCGAGCCACTTCATGCACCCGCCACTATCCAACAAGACCAACAGAGGCTACGTGCCTTCACCCGTTTTTCCCAGCTCCAACAAATTTCGACCTACATCGGAAAAGCGTAAAGAGAACGAGGAGAAGGGTTGTCATGCTTCGCGCGTTTCTGAAGACGACCCTGAAGCACCGGAGCCGTTCTTCGCTCCCCAGGGCGAGCGTCCCTTTTTCGCGAAAAAGCGTCCTCCGCCGATTGCGAAAGAGTTGCCCTCCTCACAGAAGATAGAACCGGAGAGCGAGCCTCTTGCTTCTCTCTCGCTCGCGAAACACGCATTGCTGAAATCCAGGCTTCTTGAATTCAACAAGAAGGCAGCGAGAGTCCTATTCAGGACCTGGATAGCTAGTGTGCTGGAAAAGAAAAGGATGGGATATAGAGTACGTGCTCGTGCCACAATCATGCCACAGACTTATATCTCTCGTCTTTCCAGGAGTGGCGTATATACATCCAGTGTCACAAAGCTTTGACGGCTCGCAATGATATCAGCAAGGTAGGTCGTACGCCGCTAGAATATACCGAGCTCTACTAACACCCCAGAAGGACAATCTCCCATCCAAAAGCATGGAGAGGTTTCGTTTGATGGGTATTGAGCCCGAGGACTTCAACGACGAAGTCTGGATGCCAGGCGCATTCGAGCCTCCTACGCAGGTCTCCAAACTGACCTTTGAAGAGCGGAAGGAGCGGCTGGTCCGCAAGTTAGTGGCCACCTTCCTGGTCGGGGTCGAGAAGCGAGCGGAGGAGCGCGAGCGCTTGGAAGAACAAGCTCCTCTGCAGGAGGAAGAGGAAAGTCTCGAAGAGGAGGGTGAAACCTCTTCGGCTGGTGAGGAGGGCGACGAAGCCGTAGATGATGCTGAGGATGATTTAGCGGACGGCGACGACGACATGCAGAACACAGACGAAGCCGTCAGTGACGACGAACCCGTCGATTCCACCGAGGCCGTCGAAAATGCTGCAGAGAAGGCCTGTCGCCTGGACGACTCTTCAGAGGTACCTTCGCCGGTCTCCCACGAAGAGTACAGCGATGCCCATTCCCCCGCTGTGACTACGGGAGACTGCCTCCTATCTTCACCTTCGCCCGTCCGAAGCTCACCGCTCCGCCAGTTCGGCGACCTTTCGCCCTCGAAGCCCACGGATGTCATCCGCGCGCCTTCTGCCGAAGCGATCGATGTGCCGACTACTGAGGATGCGGAAAGTCCCGCGCATGACCCGTCCGCGACTGTCGAGCAGGTGCCTCTCTCGACGCCCCCTGCACCGACGTCGCCCGAACCTTCCGACCAGGAGCTGCCGCTACCAGCACAGCATATGCAGCATCCCATACAGGACGTAACATATAATGAGCAGGGAGCAGAGCCCCTGCAACCGATGGCAGTCCGAGGGCCACCGGCGGATTCCTTCGCCTGCCTCGCCGTCGGGATGGGACGAGCCCCGCGCGACGACTTCGAGCGCGAGGTGTACACCGAAGGCCTCGCACGGGCGTACGCGCAGATCCTCACCCGCGAGAACCTCGAGCACGACTTCGCCGAGCGGGGGATCGAGCTCCCGCACATCGAGGATGACGGCGCGCTCAAGCCGCGCTGGGACAACGTGTGGGCGCTCGAACACGACGCGTACCAGGCAGTGTACGCGAACGCGTTCGCGGCGGTCCTTGCGCAGGAGGCGCTCGACGAGGAGGAGGCGGAGGACTCAGATGACGAGGAGAGGCCGGTGGATTGCATGGACCAGGACTGGAAGGTCCAAATACGGCGGCCGCGACGCGTGGTACTCGAAGACGTCGAGCTCGTCGATGGGTCAGCCATGGACATCTCGTTTCATGCGCCGTTGGACCCTATGGAGTGCGAGGTGGTCGGGGGTCCCGCCGGTATGTCGCTGTCGATTCTGGCGGGTCTGGACGGCGTCGATGATGTGCCTATGGACGTCGACTTACCCAAGGAAGCTGACGACGTCGACATCTACGACGCGTCGATGATGTCGATGGCTGCTTTCGACTTTGGCACGCCTGCGGATCCCTTGCAGGGAATACTCTCCGCGTTCGGCGGTATCAACCTCGGCTCAGACGACTCCATCGAGGTTGATACGCACCTTGACTGGTAAGTCTCGGCGATGCGAAGATCGTGGAGGGTGTATGATATGTCATGGACATACCTTTGTTACGCATTACTGCTCCTAGCTTCCTCTTTTATGTTCTATGATTTAATTTCATGTTTTATCGGGTATATATATCAGTAGTACGTATCTCAAACGCGAATGAAACGTACTTCGTTTGCATTGTCCCAGAAGAGGACTTGTGGGCGACGTGTACGGACATTAAGCTATTCTCGTGACGCCCTAACGAGTCAGGAACCTTTGACCGTTCTATATGAGGTCAACTAGCCGGGTTAAGTCTACGGTGCCAGGAGTTGCATTGCGTGCGAGCGACGATGGCCGCGTTATGGGAGGAATTGTGACTATACGTTTGTTCATCCCCTGCGTATGTGTGTTATATAAAGGGAGATCGGAACCACGTGGTGAGGGCGTGCACACCGCGATGGCAACCAGCCGCATGACCCAATGAAGAAAACTGGAATATCGAGAAGCGGTCGATATGCTTCGCATGACCCTGGGCTGCGTCGTACTGTTCGTCGCGTCACATAAATGTTGAGATTTCAGCCAGCTTTGTACGAACTACACTGTTAATATCGACACTTGCCAGGTGTCATCACTCCGTCTTGAGTCTGACGTCAACACGGCATGCGCCATTCTAGAGGGGGCACCTTTGGGATTTGAGGCGACGAACCGTGTGGCGTTGGCGCTTCTCAGGCCCGGGTAGATGAGCAAGGCAAGATCGTGATAGATTTACCCTCAAAGGAAAGAACGGTTATACAACGCAAGAAAGGAGACCGGAGGAGCACTCGCCATGCACCGTCGGATGAGGCGGGCCATCAGTAAAAAGAGAAGAGTCTGAAAAGGCTGAGCATCCACAACGGCCAACCGAAACTTCGGTGCCGACCGAAACCGGTAGCTGAACGCCATGTCGCTTATTAATATTCCTACGCCTTAGTAAAGCACATTCAGAAAAAGGAATATAATCATATCCGGGAAGTTGTCTCTCAATGTAAAATACATATTCCTACATAGAGTTACTATAAATGGCAAATAGTGTTCGATATTTGGGTATATCTAAAATACATAAGCAGAGTATATTATTCTGACCGAACTTTGAACAGCCACTAAACTTCATATCTTCACGTCCAGCAGAATAGAAAACAATATACAATAAGCAGCTGCAAGCACAAAGGGATTCAAAAATTTGAGACTTTGTTATGCCTTCTGATCTTACTCGGAATGCCTCTCTAAATATCATATTCTCTGCAGACCCGCAGGTAATCGCCCCGCCGACGGCCCGCTTGC